ACTGTGTGTCTGACACGTTGGTCTTCAGCACAGAGGTCCCACAGGTGACAGAGCTAACAAATCCCTGCAACAAAAGGGTGTTTGTAATTTTTACACTTTAAGTTAGGTGGAGAATGGTAAAGGTCAGTAGTACTTTTTGGGAGACAGAGACATAAGAAGTGAAAATCCACAATGACATCACAGAGGGGTACGGCGGCAGTGTGTGAGGAGAGTGAGTAGGGGTGAAGGGGTTGGAGGCTTGTGGTGGCTGGGGTTTGGCCGGATGATGAACTGCTGCCTTGACAGCACAGTAGGGGCCAACACTGTGAAGTTGGTTAATCCTGAGGAGCAGGGATTAGCTTGACAGGGGAGAAGCTGTCAGCAGGGGGGGATCAGAGGGCCTGTTGTCCCTGACCACAGTGCCAAACTGCATCGGCTTCCAGAGCCAACTGTCCCCAGTCCCCACCACCAACCTACACCCCGTCTCTCACTCCAGCTCAGGGCACTGTCTGACCTACTATGTGGAGTGCAGTTGTACAAACAGACATATGAGAGGCATTACAGCAGTCCATCGTAGCTGTAGAAAAGCTTAAGGGGTTTGGAAATGGACTGATGGGGTCTTCACATGAGCTCAGAGGCCGACCTGAGGAATGCTTCATCTACACACACCCATCTATTCTTCACTGCTGAAATCGTTTTGTCTTGCTCTTCTTACGCTCCACCTTGTATCATTTTTGAGTCTTTAGCACCAGGGTCCCATAAACCAGTGGCTGCTGAGCAATAGGTGCTTTCTTAGTTATTAGCCTCATCGCCCTGCTGATTATTTCACTGCTGTCTCCAAAGACGGTGCTGTTGGACAGGGAATCTTCAGGTTTGGGTATAATATACAAAATAGCTGCCCTGTCAACATGTTAGATTTAAGGATGCATGACATTATATCTGGGATGAGGTATGATCATCTCTTTTTGGCAGACTGGCAGCTTCTTTCTTCAAGCGGACAAAGGAACAGATCTCAGTCAGAGCGTCCTCACACAGCCAGCCAGGAGGCAAACGTTTCCTCACCACGACTCAAAGAGCAGCTCACGCCACTTGTTTCCATGAGAGCGACGTGGGGTCTCTCCCACCCCTGGAGTCCCACAGGAGGGGACCTTTCTTTGGGTGACTGGCTTCCCACTGTGAACACCACCCGTGGACATCAAGTACTTAGGGACTTGTCAGTTCAAGGAGCAGTCCACCGAGGACTTGGATTGCGTTCAGTGCTCTGGGTGATGAAACCTCCTGCTGTTATCTTCGTCTCACTGCATCTTCTTTGTCATGGTTGAGTTGATGAAATTTCCCAGGAGCAATTTCGGCGCTCCGACAAAAGGACCTGGAGGCGTTACAATTGGCCTTCAACGTCAGACTAGGCCACCATTTTTTGAGATGGCCTATTTAGCTGGTGTATAAGTAGGTGTTTAAGTATAACCCCACTGAATGGAAAAAGTTAAACTCAAGAAATGGACTGAGGAGGGCTGTGTTACAAAGAGGATAAATGCATATCTTAAGTCAGATCAAGGCTGACCACTCTAAAGGTGCAGAACGACCTTCACAGAGAGAAAAAAAAGATAATTCAGCACTAGGTGATGGAAAAGACATCAACATAACATCACAGGGTGTTAAAGTGCAAGGACGCTTATTCAGCAACAACACATTTGCCAGTTAATGAACCTCTCCAAGGCCTTTTACAGGCTCACATACGTATGTACTGCAATCCAAAAAGTCATTTTAGTGGGGAAAAAGGCCATAAAAAAGCCAGAGAACACAATCTGTGCAAATTGCTCCTCCCTCCTCCAGATGTGTTAGCTGAACAGCTCAACACCCAGTCTTCATAGAATATTAACTTTCAATAGCACTTGGACACACAAGCATATTAATAGTGAGTGATAAATAACACTAAGCCATCTGTGATAGACACATCATTAGACACCCATGAATTATTCAATAGCTGCAATCATGAAGGTTTTCCAAAGGATCAACATGTAGAGGAGCGAGCAGACCTGATTGCAAGTAAAAAAGCCTCCTGAACTCGACTGCTCCCGTCCCTACAAATCTGTCAGTTATAAGTGAGGAGAGTGGAGACATGAATGAGCCCACTCAGTCCTCTGAGTGTTGATTTGGACCTCCTGCTGTTCCCAAAGAAAGGCGTCATCCAACTGGCTTTGAGACGGCTTTGATTGAAGACATAATCGTGAATGTGTGTGAATTTCACGGTCAGGAGCGTGAAACCCTCAGCGAGATGGATGGAGACACGGAGAGTGAGGGAGGCAGGAGAGACCACACTTATGGAGTCAGGGTGCTGGAAGGTGAGGAGACTTTGCTGGAGCTGGCTGATGGATGTACATGTATTGTCTGTGCACACACTTTATTGTGTACATATTCAAATATGGACTGTACAAGAATTAGAAAGAATACATTAATGTCTGGAAAAGATAGTATGCATTTACAGATAATCTCTAAATCAAATCAACACCAGCGTTTCAAGTTGTTCCCCAGCCCTTATGTAGCCATTCACACAATTACTTGATTCATAAATAGTATAAGACTTCATCTATATTACAAATTGCTCTGAGGCCTGTGCAGTTCTTCCTCCTTGTGTGGAGGTGACAAAAAGGTTGGAGTAACAGTTTCCTTTATCTCCTCTGTCCAGGGTTTAGTCCTGCTGTGGACTGGCTGCCTCCCTGCTGGAGTCTGGACTCTCTTTAGACTTTTACGCCAACAAAGCTGAGCTGCACACGAGCTGAGTCTCATAGCAGAGAACCACCGGGTTAGCTACAAAATAAAGATCAGCAGTTAATAAGGGATACTTCATCAAAGCAGCGACAAACAAATGTGTTATAAAATGGACTGAAAGAGATCTGGGTAATCTGCAACAGCTGTGAGGTTTACACAAGATGATTCAAAAATGAATCACGGTGCTTTACAGTTAAAATATGAAGCTCTAATGTTGAAAAGTGCTTCAAAGTATTTTTCCTCATTTTTTTATGCTTGATGGAAGAATTAAAGTACATTAACTCCCCGTTTTGAGTCTTAAAAGATAAACCGATGTTAATCCATCAGTGTATGCAGGGCTCTGCGTACAAACCCTTTGACTTCTCCAAATTGCCCGACAGCCTGAGAGGCTGGTGAATACGACCCTAACCCTGTGTTACAACTGGTTTGATTCAGCCTCAGCACTAGGCATTTTTTTAATCAATAGGTGTTCAACTTTTTTTTCTCGGTGTGTGGGTTATTTCTGATTCCTGTTACAACATGAGTCAGTGCAGCACTAGAGCAGAAATATCAAGCAGCGGGGGCCTTGAGCAGTTCTTGGAGAGAGGCAAAGGTTGAAATGTGCTGATAATTGAGTCCGGTTGCTTTGGGCCTCAGAGAAGCTTCCTGATTACAGACAGAGGAACACATACTAACACATCACATGGTGAATTGCTGATGTTCTTGGAGCCTGAATGCCCTCCATGCACCTGCAACTCCCAAATGAAGCCAGAGGAATCAAATGCATATCCATTACAGGGAAAATATTCCATCTAACCTTATCATAACAACATTGTGTGGCAGAGTTATGGGGATATATCAAATTAGCCTGTTTCATTTGAGGACTTTTGTGTATTGTGAAAAGCTTTGGAGATCAATTGAACTGCCAGGTAATGAGCAACGGCGGCCTGCTCTAATAAACCCAGTAATGTTTTTTTGATTGCTTTGGTTCATCTCGCTCTGCCGTGCAGGAGGAGGAGGCTTCTCTGCCGAAATTCACTCCTCAGCCCCGGTTAGAGGAGAAAAAGTCAAGAGGTGTGAATCAAACTATAGAATCTTAATCCATGTTGAATGCCACTAAGAATTTATGTTACTCCATGTAGACAATGGGTGGTTTCACATTAAGGATCCTGGCCAGGATTATAGTACACTTGACCCCAAAGTCAAGTTCATTTATTCAGTGTGAACACATACGTACCTCACTCGGGTCCTGTGCCTTAAAAGAAGTGAAGGCGTGGTCACGGGCACAATTCATGTGTACTCGAGTACGGTCCGTGGGAGATGTGAATGCAACCGTGCTCAAACAAGGAAGTGGACGGCTATATGGCCTAATTCTAAACACCCCCTGTCGCTTCCGTTTCATCCTCTGAGCTGCTCGGTAGATGTGAAAGTAGGAAGAGAGTTGTTGTTGGTTGCTCAGAAATCATTTTAAAAATCCACAGTCGGCAGAATGGCCATCGTAGCTTCTTCTTCTTTCTGCTTCTTGGCGTGTTTGCAAATCAACTATGTGCAAACTGCCACCAGCTTTATCAAGACTGTGTAGATACGCGAGTGAACTCGGGTACAGAACAATGTCACTAATGTGAATGCAGACCAGCGGGGAAGAAGGAAGGTGGGGGGGGGGGCAATCGTATTACAGCACAGTACGAAACAATCAGGCCTAATGTGAAAATGCCCTGTGTCTGGTTTTATTCTGAAGAGTGAAGAACAGAGAAAATAAGTTGCAAAGTTCCGGCTGAATAGTTCACAGAGGATGACCTTCACATGAAGTGTCAGAGATGTGTTGATGCTGAAGTGGAGGGAATCAGACACAGTATGCCACTCTGCTCGCTGAAAGTAAATCCTCTCACTCACAGCCGGCTCACCACCGAGTAAGAGGTGCTCTGTCGCCGCACAACAACACTCCCAGCTGTGACCGTTTAATACGCTCCATCTCACATTCATTCCTCTGCGCCTTTCTGCAATCACAGAAAATACTAACTTACCTGTCCTAACACATTTGGCAACATGCTGCTGAGCACTGCTGCAAACTGCATCATATGCCATGTTTTGCTGGTCAGTGTGAATATGTATTTGCATCCTCCGCTCTCTGCAGAACCATCCACCGGCTCGCTGAGATGTGAGCTGTCACATCGAGGTTAAAGCTGTGTGGCACTCTGCAGGCACCAGCTGGGAGCTTCTAGAGGTGTCTGTTGTTGAGAGACAGACTGCTGATGATGCTGTGTGACTCTTACCTCTCCACATGGTCCAGGTTCCCTGATACTCCCAGTCCTCCGATGGTGTAGAGCTTTCCGTCGTACACCAGGCTGTTGTGTTTGCAGCGAGCCACCGTCATCCGAGACACCAGATTCCAGTTATCCAGCAGGGACATGTAGCACCAGACATCAGCCACCATCACACCGCTCTCTGTGCCACCTGGAATATACAAAAAGGGGTAATTAAAGCAGATGTGATTTTCTACAAAAGAAGATCTCATAGAACAAAGAACATATCAGTCAAACTCAGGGACTTTACCTGAGCTATGAGCATAGAACTCTAAACTAATTATATTTGTTTTCTTAGGAAAGCTTTAAGCACTTTCAAGAGAAGAAGGCTCCACAGGCCTGTGCTATAAACAGTTATTTTTCCTTATTGAAACCTATTCTGATACCGAGACTTCAGCAATGGATCCTCTCTGATGCAAGATAAGGGGAAAATGGTGGATATAGTCATTGCTAAAATTTGCCAGATTTGACTAGCATTACACTCTCTGTGCTAATCTTTCTACATACTGTAAAACTGGCAATCCTTTTGTCAAACTGTTACCTGAAGGCCTAAAAAGTTGGCCTTCACTTCAGGAGTCTATATCGTCTTCAGACGATAGACAATTGTCCGAGGACACCTCGAACCAGTAGATCAGTACTGATATCTGGCTCTGACTTCAGGGAGTCCTTTATTAGTTTGAAGAACTATCAGTGCAGATTGATCAGGGCTAGTCATTGCTGACTCTTCAAACCCTCGCTTCAGCACCTAGTGCTATCAGGATGATAGGGTATATACGAAGGTTATGTATCTTTCTTGTTTCAAGCTGATTTCCTTTACATGTCGAAATCTTAATCACTAAATGTTGTTGTTTTCTGTTTAGAAGTTACAGCTAAACAGTGTGAGACTTGGACAACTATTTTACTAGTTAAAGGTTGTTGACTGCTGTGTTAATGAGTGAACCAGGCACCCATCAAAAGTGTGTTTGTTTCAGCTCCCTGTAGTTTGACGTGTAACACCAGCAGAGACTCAGTGACCCTGCTCTGAGTGTGAGGAAGGTTACAGAGCGGAGCCTGTTGCCTGGCTGGCTAGAACACCTCTGATTTCTGCACTGGCTGTCTGACTCCCAGCTGACACATGCAGACCTGTTCCAATGCCCAAACACAAATTTACATTTATATGAAAAGAGGTAGAGGAAGGGTACGTGTGGGACAAATCCTGCTGCAATGTCAAGGTCTGAGCACTGTGCAGGACTCTGGCAAAAAAGGAGAGTGGAGTGAGAAATTCAGTGTGTCTCTGGAGAAGAAACTCAAAAGTGTCTCAGATGGAGTCACAGACTGTGCAGTGTCACTGAGACTGTAAAGTCCAGGTAAAAAGAAGAGATGATCTTCTATTTACAAAAGACACCTTTGCAAAGAAGACGTTATCTCCACTGCAACAGGAAAGCTTTGATTGTGCTGGTGTAGTGGATGATTTAGCTCACCTGACAGGTAGATGTTGTCTCCTGCTGAGATGACACTGAAGAAGTCGCGGTCGTAGAAGGGCAGGCTGGCCAGCGGGTACCACTTACTGTTCTGAGGGTTGAAACAGGTGACTGCTGTCAGGGAGCGCTGGTTCATCCCAATCGTCTGACGCCCTCCCACCAGAACGATCACCTCCACTACACCTGGAGGACAAGAGTGGAGGAGGAGAATGATGCAGGTGGACAAGGAAAAACAATCATTAAGGTAAGTTTTCCACAAATCTATGGAAGCCAAAATGAATCAAAGTCTCTTTGAGATTCTATATTGCTGAAGAAACTTTCTTTCTTCTTTGTTATGAACCCCATTAGCATCAACTTTTACACCTTCTCAACTTTCCGACAAGACCCTCGAAAGGCTGCATGAACAGCGATTTACACAAGCAGCTGCAGATTATAAATCTACTGTTTTGAATTCAGACCCGCCTTGGCTTTTTTCCTGAGTCAATAAGCTTGTCGGGAAATGCAAAACAAAATGCAAAACAGAAAAGTTTCCTCTTGGTCACAGGAAACTACTTTGTAAAACTGTGATGTATAACTCAATTATGAAGACTGATGGTTCTGCCATTCGTTTGGATGCTGCCCAACTTTCTTCTTCTCTCTTTCTCCACAAAATACAAGAACTAACCAACACATTGACTTTTCCGCACTCTGTGAAAAGTACACTGTTTTGGAAAAAGATACTCACACAATCAATAACATGAGGATCAACGTGTTTACATTTTGTGCTTGTGAGTATGTGCTGTGTCTCATTTGAACACATGCTGAGGACCTGGTGGGATTATGAAGATACTTGAGTACATTCAACACACAGACCTGTTACTTCTCATTTGATGTGTGCTCCCAGACACACACACACACACACACTCAGAGCAACCGGATAAAGACACCATTGATCATAAACATACAAACAGGTTGGCAGGCTGCCACATGTGTGTCTCAGGTCCTCTCAGTCTTCAGCAGCAGGCTGCAGAAAGCGGACAAGGCGACGAGCCGCAAGACAGAAACAAGCTGTGTTTGTAAGCAGCAGGCAGGGAGAGGGAGGAGAGCGAAAGAGGTAGAGTAGAGAAGGGAAGAGAATAGAGGGGGGAGAAGAAAAGAGATAGAGACGGGATGAGAGGAGGAAGGAGCAAGAGACGTGGGATGAAACAGAAAGAGAGGAGGGAAGGCTAATCTTGATACACTCCAAACCAAGCCTGAACACAGATTCTTTATTTGGATCAATACTTTTTCACCCAGTCTCTTTACTGACAGACACATCCAGAGAAGGCTCTTTTTCCTTTTTCCTTCTGCAACTGTATGCAACAAAATCCCCTATATATTATTTGAAAAGCAGAAAAATGCCAAAACTACAATGTACTTATGTGTGGATTAGAAAACACATCCTGGACACACAGCTTAGACTTAGTGGACAACTAAAAGCTGACCTGCTTATTTTTTCAAAGGGATTTTTTTTTTGGTATATATTCCTCTGTGAAGGGTGAAAAACAAAGTGATGGCTCAAGGAGAAAGGGACAGCGTCACTGCAAAGTGGAAGGTCAGGTTTCCAAGCTAAAAAAGACCAATCATGACAAAATTCAGAAAGTGTAGAAGTTGTGGGTTGTAGCTCCTTATAGCAGCGAGTAAAATATGTTTAAATCTGGAGTGACGCTAGAAAGGTTTTGAGTTGAATCTGTTCCCAACATGCCTATGAACCTCAGATAGCCTTCAGGACCTCAAACAGACAGATGCATGCAGCTAATGAATAGCAAGACACACATTAATTGTGTTGACTCTGTGCTGCTATTGTTCTTCTTCATGATTAGTTTGCTGCTATTGCTGTATATGTTTATTTCTCCTTTTCACTTGTATTTTTATCTTTATTCAACGTTTGGCTTTAAATTACTGTTTTCTATTTCTTAAATGATTACAATTTTCTTCTCTTTTTGACACGTTTTCTTTAATCCCCTTAGCTCTTGGTCTTGGGGTTTATTGATATTGACTGCTTAGATTAACTTGAAATGTTTCTTGGCTAAGTCTAAGCCAATTTTGGGTTTTCTGTTTGCACATCAATGTATCTTCTGCTGTTCAAAGTTTCTTCTTCGTTGTCTGTGCGTGTTCATAGTGAGCATAAAGTCACATTCATTTCATTCTTAAAAGATGGTGGAGGATTTACACTTACTAACCTTTCTGGTGTCCCGTGTTTTTCAACCATGTAAACACATATCACTGTAAAAACTGCAATTTTGTTTTCTTGTTTCTCCCTCCAACCCCTCGAGTCTAATAAGGCCAAATAAAGCAAGCCCACATGCTGCTTCCCCGTGCTTAATTCTTTTGTCTGTGCTCATGCAGGTCTTTATTACCACCCGGTGCACATGTTCAGGTTGTGTTTAGAGCTTTCTGCTTGGCCGAACACATCAGGGCGAGTCCACATCTGGGCACTGAGACTGCTGTGCTGCTCTGACCCCTGAAGCCCTGAAAACCTTCAGAAGCTAACGCAAACCCAACGCCGACCTGTCAGAACACAACAAAACAGGAGAGCGGCACCGCTGACGGGGGGAGTCACAGCATCAGATCAGATGGTTGTGTGTGCATATGTGTGAGTATTAAAAGCAGAAATAAAGCCTCGTAGGGACAGCTGTCAGTCAGTCTGAGGTTTGATGGGATGAACGGATGAAAGGATGGAGCATTGAAGGATGGAGACAAGTGGTTTGGGATGAATGGATAACCAAGACTCTACAGCTCTTGTTTTTTATTTTTCCTGGTGGAGTGCATTCCTCTGACAGAAAAAGTCTCCTTTTCTTCATTCCTACCGACCTTCTGATTTATTTTAGGGTTATGCTGTCTGCATATCAAGTAGAAGCTACATCCTGTTTAAAAGAAATGTATGCAACAAAGTACATTCATTCTGAGCTACATTTTATTATAAATTGGAACTTGAGTAGCACAATTTGCATCTCAATTGTCTCAAAAGTAAGCTGATCAGAGAATTGCTGATATAAATGTCAATTTCTGTTTTTTTCTTTAATATTATCAAAAACCTCAAAAAGAAAATCTGGATAGTTTGCATTCTGTCTGTTTTTTTTTTACACAATAAAGGTGTCACATGTTTAACTATATATGTGTAAATACATTCATATAAAGTAGTGACACAGAGAGAGTAGACATTACAGTCACAGTGACACGAGCAGAGCAGTTTATATCTCACTATTGGTCAATAACTGTTTCCTCTTATCTGAGCAGCTTCTCTCTAATCTCTCTCTCTTTCCTCCATAATCCTTTGATTTCTCTCCCAGGGTGTTAATATGCAATGGTGAGCATCAGCTGGCAAAACAGCTTCCAGAATAATGTCAGGGTCCAAGGAGGTGTAATATGTATGTAAGGGATTGGCATGATTAAAAGTGTGCACACTTGCTGTGTGTTTTCTGTTGGTCTGTTTTGGCAAACAAACCTGCATCCCGGCGAGCGGCTTCAGTTTGGGCTTTTTCATGGCCTCAAGTGTCCTCAACCTTTGGTTAAAGAGTCGGTTCATTCTCATTACTGATTGAGCTTTAGTGATATTGAGCACTGCAGATGGTTTTAATGAGACATTGTCTGAAAACTCCAACTCCACATTGACAAGCGATGTGAGTATTTTAGTTTCTTGCATTATTGTAAAGTTTAATTAAAAGAGTGTGTCTGTGAGAATCAGTGTTCCAGACACTCAGGGTGATCCACAGATGTTTCTATGAGAAGTTTTCATGGTGAAACTACTTTCTACGAAAAAATGAGTCCCTGTGGAAAACGTTCAGGGTTTGTTGTGCAGACTTCCTGGAGTAAGTGGGACAGTGTCACTGGAAAGAGATGTTCCTGTTGAATTTTTTAAAGGTTTTCTTCATTTTAATAACATGTACTGCATTGAGATTGTGACACAAGACACAGAGAGCGTAAAACCAGAGCATAAAAACACAAATCTATCTGCTAGGCAAGATGCAACTAGAAGAAATAAATTATGCTTTATATTACGGGACTTCGTTGAATGACATACCAAGCTTCTCTTTCTTTAAATGTAACACATGATGAGTGGATAGAGACGCCCCACATGCATTAACTGTCCAAAGAACCAAACCTGCACCATGGGAACATGCATAAAACTATAACCTGGTTCACTCAGCCAGCTGAATACTGATGAGGCTGAGGCAGCCGTGCAGCAGGTACAGCGGGTCAAAGTGCCAAAGCTGATCCATGTACCTGTAAAAGCTGCTCACTTTGGGTCTCAGCAGCAACTACAGCTCTGCAGTGAGTCAAGTTCTCTTACAACAGATGAGGTGATCATTCACCCGTTTTCCCCTCCCCCCCCCTATGCAGCTTAGGCTGACAGTAGTCACTTGTCAATTATTTTGGCTGCAGCCCCTGTAGACATTCAGACCAGAGTTTACGTAATCAGGATCTACTGCTTCCACTTTAAATCTATGACAGATTAGTTCCACAAGAGAGTTCCCTGATAAGCTGCACAAACGTAAAAAAAAACAATCACAATCCACTCTCTGGAGAAAAGTTGCATTCTACTTCTACTCTCTGTCACTCTTTCCCTTCCTCTCAGAGAAATCTATACGCTGCATGAGCTCGGAAAGACAAACCAGGCCGAATAATTACACGGAGCCAGCTTGGGTGAGAAGCAAAAGGTGGCAGGCTTTGGAGGGGAGTCTCCGATGACCATCTTACAAGGTGTGAATCCTGCCTTGGTCTGCTTTCATTGCTCTGCTTTTCTATGTTCTGTGTCCACTCTCCGAGGAGCCGCTGGCTGTTGGCGGTGTGAATGAGTAGATGAATGTCACGCCTACGGGGCTTCAGACCTCACAGAACAGGCTGCTGTTATTGTCTCCAAATTGTGGATGCGAGCCAAGCCATTGTAGAGCTGATCTCAGTGAAATACAGCTTTTGTTAGACCTGCACACTCTGTTTAATTTGGCTTGTATGACACTGCAAGACTGTAATTGGGGTGGATACATTTTAATATCCACATTCCAGTAGATGTAGAAAGTAGTTTAGACTAAGAAGATTTACTTTTTTTTATTGATCCCTGCAAGGGGAAATTTCAGTTTTTACACTCTGTTTATCATGCAACACAAACATAGGCTGAAATATACACACACATGCACAAACAGGATCCTATGGACATGCACTAATGCAGAGATGTCAGAGTGACGGGACCGCCCACAGCGGGCGCTCCTGAGCTGATGGTGGGTTTGGTGCCTTGCTCAAGGGCACCGTGGCAGTGCTCAGAAGGTGATCTGGCACCTCTCCAGCTACCAGACCCACTTCCAGATTTGGTTCACACAGGGACTTGAACCGGCGACCCTCCAGTTTCCAACCCAAGTCCCTACAGACTGAGCTACTGCCACCCCAATCTGACTATCTGCTGAAAGTCATTCAAGGTTGTGCGAAGAAATCTTGTTCTGAAGCGCTTTAAACCTAGTAATGTGGTATAAGAGAGGGTCACAGAGATAAAATGCTTCAGCAGTCAACCTGCTGCATACTCAAACTCTTTTCTCCGGTGCTGCTCATGCTGTATGTGTTGGTGTAGTACTTAGATTTTTCCTGCCTTTTATTTAACATGCATGTGAGCTGAGCTGGCCCCCTGTGTCTCGTCGTCATTACAGCTCATTTGTCTGAGTGCTATTCCACTTGGCTGGGTTGAATTAACAGTTTGCCCTGACGCTCTCAACCCTCCTCTGAGCCGAGCGCAGTGTCACGACTCTCAGAGAAGAGGAGATGGAAACAAATTGTATGGTTTCTGTCACGTACACACACACACAACCAATAAGAGAACAACTAATGGTCGTTTTTTTTTTAGAAACTCTGCAGTGGACAAAGAATACTCAGCCTCTTTTTATGTGGAAAAAAGTATTTAAATGTTTATGATTACAACATTTCCATTTATTTGCTGAATATCTTGCTGGCTCCGTAATTAACATCTAATAAAACAAATGGGTAAGGCATTCACTCAATAAAACTCTTTGGGATGTGAAAATGGTGTAAAAGTGAGACAGAGAGGACGTCTCATTTCAAGCCAGTGGAGTGTTTCGAAAATAATTTTATGCTGATTCATTCTAAACTTTTATGACTCTTTCCTTGTTGTTATTCTGTCCAGATGTTGTCCAGCATTGTTATGCTGATGAATTTATTTCAAACCAGTTCCGTTAACTCTGCAGGTGAGCAGACAACTGGAACATTGTGATCATATTTCAGGACAAAGGACTTGTCAGAGTGAGTGATATGAAAATGTGATATCAATGAAAACTGGGTTAAGTAAAAAAGTACATCGAAACGAGGCAGCCATATGGAAATAAAGAAGAAACCTGGAAAACAAGACAATTAAAGTTTGTGTGAAAACCATCAGGCAGCTTTTTTTTTTCATTTGCAATAAAAATAACTTTTTTCTAGCGCTTACAGTTAATGGAGCAGATACTCATTACAATGTTAGTCTTTTAAAATGCAAGAGGGTGAACTTTTTGGAGTCTACAAAACACAAAGCGTGTTTTCATAGGTCATTAACATTCATATTAATGTTTTATTTGATCCTTAAATGATTTATGAGATTCATTTAGCAGAAACATGAACTAGGACAGAGTGTTAGGAGCATGTATACACAGATTTTACAAGCACTTTAACACATTTTGCAATTTTTTACACTCATATTATAGAATTTAAAGCTGCTTTAATCCATTTTTTATAATAAATGTTTTTTTTAAATAACTTTTATTTTTACTTTTTAATATTGAGTGGTCTCATTAAATTAATATTGGAAAGTCTCTCTCAACTAAAGAAAAAAAAAAGGAAATATATTTCACTAAATTCACAGATTAAAGACAATCTGAAAGCTTTTAATCAAAGTCTGTCTCACAAGAATGAATTAGGTTTCAGGGCTGAAACAGTTTGCTCCTTAGTCCCGACTAATTTTGTCTCTCTGAAATAAAAAGTGAGGCTGAAAAAGTGAGGCACTCAGATACCTGTCCATACAAACACATCATCCACTAAGTCACCCACACGTCTACACCACTCATCCTCTCAGACTGGCTGTTCTTTGCAGACATTTTTCATGGACGGCAGGTTGTCTTTCTTTTTCTGCCTGACAGACTTATCATTGGAGTTCAGGTGTTGCCCATCTGCTTGCACATATTATACACACACAAACACTTAAAGTCAAGCACTATCATAATAAACTAAATCAAATGTCTTTGCTTCAAAGTTAATTTCTGATCCACCTGCCAACCCCCCCCCCCCACTTCTCCTGTTCTCCCATGTCTTTTCACTTTCTCATCCTCTGTGTGTCAAACACAATCCCAACAACCTTAAACCTCCTCCCAGTCTTGTCTTTATCTTTGCCAATGTCCTTTATGAATCCGTGTTAGCCCCCATATCTACCCTGCATTCCCAGTCACTGTGCACCCTGCTGTGCAGAGCTCACCCTGTCCAGTGCAGCAGATGGCTGAACAACACGTGCATAAACACAAACAGTCATGACATACAAATCCTCTCTCCTATATTCATACAATTACACAGTAAAGGCACATTTATCTGTACTCCAAATATGTTGCCTCATCAAAACACAGTTTTCACACTTCTCATAATGAAATCAAACACGCTGACAAAATACTCAGCCTTACAGCGAGTTAAAATAACACTCCCCCATCGGGGTAAAATGCATCATGAATGTATTCATCCCTGCAGTGTTTGTGCATTTATATAAGTCTGTTGTTACAGAGCCACAAGCTGTTGGGAATCAATACACTCTACAGCCTGCATAATGTGTCTGTTGGATGCAGAATATTATGCACATAATAACAAACATTGATGGGCCTTGACAGAATATGCTTGAAGAAAGTGCTGAGAACAAAGAGAAACTGGATCGAGGATGATTAATGAGATAAAACTGAGCACATACGATAAATGCCCGGGGACTGCAGATGTAAAGATGTAATGCATCAAATGGCAACATTTGTGTTTAATATTGTGTATGGTCCCTTTAGAAATAAAATTAAATACATAAAAAACAAATATCTTTTCTTATGAGACAAATTATTCTTTGGAAACGCCAATGTGCCGGAATCACAGCCAATTTAATTGGAAAACATTTGAATCTTATAAAATTCCTCCAATGTCTGTTTACTGACAAATGACCACGTTGGACAACAGTGTTAGCTAGTTAACCGATTTCAGGTGATCACCAAGTCATTTTTCCAGCAAGCAGAAACTAACTTGATCTGAATGCTAATTTGTGCTGTTTGAGAGGCTCATAAAATCGCTCACACTATAATTATGAAGCTCAGCCAGAGGTCATTTTCAGGCGCCGTCCACGTTTCACGTTCTTCAATGGCTTGGATAAATCTGGCATAAGTGAGAGAGTGAATGGTTTGCTAAGTTTACAAAGTTGTTAGGAGGTATTTATGTGCTGGTTTGCAGTATCAAAGTCTGAGTTCAGTAGCCAACAAAACCCCAGGAAGCCGTTGCAGTTGGTGTTACAGTTTTGGAAAGAAAACGCAGTGTTGACCTTTGGAAATATGACCGGGCCTGGGTGAGGATTATACTCTAAAGCAAAAGATTACATTACAAGCCGTGATATATAGTTTTACAACCTGGACACACACAACAGCGAGCACTTTAAAACCCATCAATTCAAAAAGGCAGACAAAGTTTTGGACAAAAAAAAACCTAATCACGCCCACTGTTGAAATACCACAAGGCATCATAACGTTTTAAACTTTGACCGTTACCAAACTTTCATGGATGTTTGTCTTGTTTTTTAAAGCTGAAATTGGCTTGCCCTCCAACCAAATTAAAAATCACAACAATAAGATAAATACCAGATCACAAACGAGGGGAAACTGTACCGAGGCGTAGAAGAGAATTTAACCAGAAAGTGTTGTCTGTTAGAGGCCGCATTCAAGGATCCAATTACCAGCACATATCAGGGATTGTGAGAACTACTTCACCTCTAAAAGAAAAACTCAAACAAGCCAGTCCTATACTCATAAATAATATTTGTCCTCCCATTCTGGTGCCCGTTCCTTTGGCCTCTGGCTCATCCTGCATCTTTAACTAGCTTATTGTAGGTGTGTCTGTTATTTGTAATGTAACAATTGTGTCTGTTTTGTTTGTTGAATTGTGAGTTCTTTCGTGTGTGCTGACCTGTAGACTGTCCTGTAAATTGTAAATATGTTTTATGTTTTTTTCATTTCAATTCAGTGAAGAAATAAAATAAGTATTTTCAGTCGTTGTCTGGAAAAGCTGATAGAGCTTTAAATCTTTGCTTTCAAGTTGTGGGTTAAAATCAATATGATTCAGTGGCAGGTCAAGGTCTCCTTGGGCAGAACTAACCCCTCTATCATTGTGTTGAAGTTAAATATGAAGAGAAGATTGTGTGAGTGTGTGTGTGTGTGTGTGTGTGTGTGTGTGTATGTGTGTGTGGGTGGGTTTGTGGATCTGGCAATGTGTTCTTGTTCAACTAAAGCGATGGGCAGATTAAATCGCCTCCATCCTGCTCTCTGGTCACCTAGGCCACAGAGGATGCACATCACTGTATCCTTGCATGTGTGAGTGTGATTGTGTAGGTGTGTATATGTACCTGCAGATAGCCTGGGCCGAGTCCTGGGCGTCTGCATCTCCTGCCGGGCGTGGGGCAGCATGTGATAGCGCTTGGCCTCGTTGACCAGATCCCGACACGCCTCGGACGATTTGATCAGCTCCTCGTTATCGACCACGTTGAGCAGGTAGGACGGGTGGATGAAGGGAAGACGCACCACCGCCAACAGCTCTGATAAATTCTAAAAGAAAGGGACATAGGGAGAGACAGATTGGAGGTTAAAGGTTGCAGTGACAGAGATGCTGTAAAAACTTAAGAAAGGCAAAAAGAAAGAAAGAAAAGAAAGCTTTACAAAGTTTGAAGAGAGATAGAGAGAGAGAGATCAAGAATGATCATAAACTGTTATAAATTAATCACATAAAATATATCAACAATAAACACATCAGATCAGCATTTTGTTTATATCACATTTATTCCAAAACTCATCTTTTATTTTTCTAAGCAATAACTTTTAATTACACCATAAAAGAAGATATAAAAAAACAGCCTTTGCTGTTAGAGTGAGGAAACCTGACGAGACCATCAGATCAGTTACTGTCAGTGTCAGACCCTCAAAGCTTCAGGTCGCCCTGACAAACACAGGGAGACAAGAAAACATCTCCTCCATAACATTTTGTAAAGTTTAAGATAGAATTTGCTAAATGTCTCAGTTACATGTGTGCGTTCAGTTACACTGTGACAGCTAAAGATGTATGTTGCAGGGGTGAATCTTGGTGAAAAGTTTCACCTTCTGATTTTCATCTTCCAAAAAAACACAATTTCTGACAGACTGTGAATGTGTTTATGCAGCTAAATTCAGACTCAGTTCTGGTAAATAACAAACAATTCAACCTATGAAGCCTCAGCTATATGATTTAAGGTAACAAACACATACAGTAAAGACTTTATTTTATGAATTCATAGCTTGTTATTTGCACCATTCCCTTTAAGGGGGGCTTCAGGAGTGAGAGCTTGACGATGATGACCAGTGAAGTAAAAAGACTGAACCATCCTCGCCTATGAAAACAAATATTTATGCATGGATGTTCCATTGTTGCCTCTGCAAACATCTACTGTATAGGTGTTCAGACACATTGGCAAGACCCACTGTTTCCACGGCAACCGCGTTGATAGCTTTGCCTTCCTGAAGTTTTTTTATTTGAGTTTGCAGGTGATTGTTTGTGTGTTTGTTTGTTACTGTATGTGTGGGGGTCTTTGCATCACTGGGAGTCTGATCTACAGTATGTGACAGTAAAGGTCGTAACAAGCCCGCCGAGGGACAGAGAGCTGAGTGGAGATTTGACCCCGCTGACCCTTTGACTCAAAACAAAGTGACCGAGCTTTGGTGGCAGTAAGAGCAACAAAACAACAGACCCAAAGAAATGTCATTCAGAGGAGAGCACACACTGACACTCTGCTGAAGCATCTCTTTCTCTCTCTCTCTCTCTCCCACCTGAGGCCTTCAGCATGTGTCCCATCTGTTGGGACTGATGTCCCGAGACCAGAGAGGGGGGAGGGGGGCATAAGTGAGCAGAAGAAGGTACAAAGTGGAGGATAGAAGGGATTGAGATTAAGAAATGATATAACTATCCTTCACCAGAGGGAGAACAAAAGATGTGGGAGAGGAGGACAACTGCACCACGGCAGTGTGGGGGAAATCTGCTGATAACATTTCCTCTCTGTCAGCACACTCAGAGCCAAACACCGTCCTGCAGATGAGACTGTCCGTTTCCCTGCCACTCATACATACACTGTTTACCCAGCAGTAAACAAACAGCTCATAACCAACAGAAACACAGGCAACGATCACTCTTAGCACCTCAGCATGAAGGTAAAGTCAAAGCAGGCTGCTGATATTCCCGAGGGGCTCGTCACTGTCTCAGGAGAAACTTCTACTGCCAGTTAAAGTGCTCCACAGTGTGAGATTTGCCCCACTAGTTACTGAGTCATGTCACACTCTAATGGAGGAGACGTAAGCTTCAGGGTTACTGCTCTCACTTAACGATCACATGCTGCTTTTCTCAGGTCTGCCACAACATCACCTACTGTGGTGTGACACTGATTCATTTATAGCAACAATAGAGCAACAAGTCATTAAGGCACTATATAACGCTGCATCCGGTTTAGTTATTAACATAATCAAAGGTTGTGTAGTATTATTTATGTAGGAGGAGTAAACTTCATTCTGATATGCTTCAAGTATTTTTGGCTCATTTTTTAGTCTGCAGGTTGTGAAATAGGTCACAGCTGACCGTTCTGACCCTGTGGCTAAATTCAAACTGTATGAGGGGTGGCCTCAGCCAGGTGGTACCATTTAGTGGAACAGCAGGAAGAAATGTGGAAGAAATCTAGGTGCAAATGTGGAAATCTTGCTGGCAAACAGCAACTGAAAAGACTTCTGCTTTACTGATTCATTTTCAGCATGTGGCAAAAAAAAATCCGCAAAATCCCAAATCCAAATGATCCTCCTCGACAGTCCAGATCAGGTGGGCTGAATACTCCGCGTAGAAACTTTGAATGCATTTGTTGGTGATGGCCTTAAATAGGAATAAGTGAGAATGGAAAACAACCTGTATTGTACTTACCTGTATTGAAAATAACTCCAAGTCTCCCACTTCTTTTTCACTCTGCACCTTTCGTCCAGCTCCTCGCCCTTCCTCCCACACATGCATTTATATAAAAGAATGGAAAAACACTCGCTGCTAACAGTCAAATCCAAAATATGAGACCTAACAAAAAAGTATTCTTGGTTTGTACCAGATATTAAAACTACTCATGAAGGAATCATTTCGCATACTTTGACTCAAGGTTCTTGTTTATATGTTCATAGTCATGTCGTCACTTGACTTTTCCTTTGTTTTGGGTGAGTATTATATTAGCTACTTGTTTAAGCATGTAACTACTAGACTGCAGTATCTGCATTGTCTTTTTGTCACCTCCTTGCACATGGATTTTTACAGTACCATTAATACCTGTCCATTATACATTATGCAAAGTATACTTAGACCATTTGTCGTAACACCTTGACTAATGCAATGTATTTATGCAAAACTAATTCATGCATAATGCAGGACTTGGCCGGTCACACTATTATTCTTTGTTTTGTTAATTACAAGTTTGTCTTATTTCAATCACTTGCACTTAGTCAAACATTTCATCATCCATGCGTGGGAGGACTAATTCCATGTTTGCTTTGCACAGCCTTTTAGACTCCTGTGTACCCTAGTCTCTGGTTTACCAATCACTTCAAAGGATTAGAGTTTTAAAAACCTATATAACGGGTGAAGTTGTCAGCTGTGCCAACAAAAGGGCTTTAGCAATATCATCATTTTTTCATTGTGTTTCATACCAAATTATCTGAGCAGCTTTTGGATGGTCTGCTATAAAGGTGATCTCTGGTGAGCCGAGTGATGTCTCAGGGAGACAGGGGAGTGTGGCCTGTCATTTTCATTGTCTCACCTTCTCATGCCTGCTTAATCGTTATGCTATGAAACAGAGACCAAGACTCATGAAAGATAAGATACTTATCAAAACCGTGAACATTTTTGATGCCTTTATTAGAGAGACAGAGGAGACAGGAGTCGGAAATCGGGGGGGGGGGAGAGAGAGAGAGAGAGAGAGAGAGAGTGAGGAATGACATGCAGTGAAGGAGCCACAGGTCATATCTGAACTCGTGCTGCCCGCTTCAAGTGTTGTAGCATCTGATATTCTGTACTGTATGTAGGGCGTGCAAACTAACCACCAGAAACTGTTGACATTTCGAAACAAAGGAAAGTTTTTATTTTCTTCTTCCATTTTACCCAAATAAGGATCATTTATGTGGCGTTCACTTGTATTCTGATATGAAAAGCAGCCCCCCCCACACACACACACACCTTAAATAACACCTACACTTTGACACACAGGGGATGTGTATGGGTTGAGTCAGGTGGAAGGCAGGGATAATGTGTCTAACAAGGAGCCTCTCAGATCTGTCAGAGGCAGCAGAGGAGCAGCAGGGAAACCGCCATCCTCTAACACAGATGACAAATGTCCGCTGAGCGTTTTCCATTTCACTGCTGTCAGTGAGGACCAACTCCTCTCACCATGTGTGTGTGTGCTGACTCAGTTTGTCAAATAAATGACACATGAGCGGGCATATCTATTTGCTTTGCTTTCAATCAGATAGGTGTTTGAATGACTCAAAATGAAAACAGTGATTGTAATTCTTGAAGACAGTTCAGTTCCATACAACTACATCAAACACAAAAGATGACCACCGCTAAGTGTCCTTATGTTTGTGTGCAGAAAACAAACGCAAGCGCTTCTTCTGGTGACACATTAGAGTACAGACGAATAAACTATCCTCTTCAAAGTGACATTTCATTTAGGTTCCAGAAAGGATTTGACTGAATGTGTTCAGTTCAGTATGACTTCTCTCCTTAAAAACACAACAACATGTGCTTCATTTTGCTCATTTCATTTAAAATATATTCACATCACTAACTGCTGTCTATGCATAAACATTTAATCTCACTGATTTGCCTTTGACATCCAGTGACATCGAGCATCTTCCATGTTTTCTGAATCCTCAGGAATCCTGGGAGGGATAAAAATTGCTTCCACTGAACGAACGGCATCATTCAAGTGTTCTGTATGCCTTGTATAGCTCATGTAGCCCCTGTGTGTTTATAAGGCATTCCTGTGGAAATGAGACTTCTCTGACTGGCTCTGGATATGAAGCCGCTGCGGTCGAGTGAATGTGATTCAGCTGGCTGCACACATCAGGACTGCAGGCGCTCTGGGACAACAAAGGACTCAGATGAGGATGGAGGTCCAGAGTTCAGTGGCCTGAATCAGAGCCCGTCCATTCTCTAATACCCTAATTCGCATAACAAATGATTTACAGTCTTATGTGAAAGTTTGAGTGCAGGACTGGGATATAATAACAGTGACATGCAGTGAATTTTGAGTAATTCTCTTTGTGTGTGAGTTAGAGAAAATAGCAAAAGTGAAAATGGCCTGCTGCAAATACCTCTATTGCCAGGCTTAGGGCTCACTCACACTAGCAAATCCGTACCGTGCCTAAGCACGCTTCACCCCTAAAGTCCAGTTTGTTTGACCATTGTGAGTGCTCTGAGCCGTACTCAAGCACAGTACACTTCCTTGGCCCTGGCACGCTTAGAAGAGGTGTGCTCCGGCACGGTACAGTTCATGTACAAGCACAAGCAGGCCTTCATTATGAAGAAATCCTCCAGTGTTACTGCTGAATCTGACTAAAATGACTCGAAATAAGCCACAAAGTCAGTAAAGTATCTGTCATGTTCTCTGTGTTGTTCTCTGATGTGCAGACGCAGACTCGACCGCGCGTCCCTTTTTTTTTTCCTTGAGGTTGCCTGTCTTGTAAACTAAGCAAGCTTCACGATCACATAAAGCCATTCATGTGTTGTATTACGACGTTATGTAATGTACAAGAGGTAACCGTGCTCAGGCCCGGTTAGTCCTGGAGCAGTGTGAGTGCAGGCCAGCGGGGGAATGGGGAGTGGGGACAATCAAGCTTAAGCACGGTAAGGGACAACTTTGCCTAGTGAGAGTGCGCCCTTAGTCTCCTCAAGAATCTGTATTTGTCACAGATCACACTCGCCATGGCCACAAGTTCTTTTTTTATCTCACTCTGCAACAGTTTAAGTTTCCTCTTGAAGGATGATCAATGTGACAGGAAGCTCCTCTTCCCCAAAGTAACTCAATTAACCTTTTCTTTAAGTCTGCACAACTATAGTTTCTTGTTTTTGAACTTGGAGCTTAAAAGAGGGTGACTTAATTAAAAGTGAAGGTAAATGAATCGTAAACTATGAGGAAAACTCCGTTTATATCCTCAAACAGCCTCAAAGCGTTTCTGTTCTTTGATGATTTTCTGCTCTGACTACAAAATGATCACATCATCAAAAAGGAGTTTTTCCCCTTAAATGAGAGCAGGAGCAAAATTTATATCAATACATCACCGGAGTCAACTGTAGAAAATGCTCAATATTATTGCTCGTAACTGATAAGAATGTGAAGAATTATCTTGACTATATTCATTTGACCTGGCAGAAGCAAATGCCAGTGCAGGCAATTGTTGTTTTTTGTGGTTGGGTGGCTGTGGTTCAGAGGTACAGTCCCTCGTCACTCAATTGAAAGGTCGGGGGTTCAATCCCCAGCTCCTACAGCCAAATGCTGATTTTTTTTTTTGGGGCAAGACACTTAACCCCAAGTTGTTCCTGCTGCTTTGTCAGCGGCCTATAAATGTGTATGAATGGGATCAGTTAATTCTGATGGCTACTTTACATGGCTTCCTCTGCTGTGGGAATGTGTACGTGTGACCTGCAGTGTAACAGTGCTTTGAGTAGTCAGAAGACTAAAGCGTTATACAAGATCAAGTCCATTTACCATTTGTTTCTGATGAGTGGACAGCAGGTCCTTTCAAATGGCACAACTGTCTTTTTTTTTAAATAATGAAAAACACACAATGCACATCTTTTCAGCTGTTAGGTTACTTTCCAAAGAGCCGTTAACCAGTTTCTTTAATCAGCTTGAGTCACCTGGTGAGATGGGATCCTTCATAAACTATGCTGAAGTGAGGCCTGAAGGAGTTTCTATTCAGAGATTTGACAGACACCAGGCTGTCATCCCACAAAAGGCAGCTGGGAGAGAGGAAGGATATGTCTCTGTCAGTTAGAGCCTTAACACTCAAACGAAACAAAACAACACCAGGGATGAGTTTTTTATTCCTCGTTTATGTAAAAAAAAAAAAAAAAGAGAGAAAAGTTTTAAGATGTTATGTATTACCATCATTTAAGAATGGTTTGAGATACATTTACATTTAGGTGTACTCTAAAGCAGCAACTAATGACAATTTTCATGATTAATTATGTCTGTGATATCAGAGATATATTGTACATTTGATAACCCTTGAAATGAATAACTTTAACATATTCCCGTGGCAGTGGATGGCCCTCTGTACGTAATGCACAAGACCAAAATATCTAAAAAGGCATACTGTTTGCATTAGCAGTGTCATTGACATGAAAGTGTAATCGCCTAGTAAAACAGTTTTGTCATATTTAGTGGGAACTATTGACATAAAATCAGAAAAATCGGGGCGAAAAATGCATGTGGGGCTTTGGTAGTCGATAGAAAGTAACAGTGAAAATAGACTGCTGAGCTCTAACAACCACAGCTAAGTGTTCAAGTCAACAAAGCAACACTTAGAGGAAGCAGAATGATGAAAGAAAATAATGAACAATGCCTCCTCTTTTGTCTTATAGGAAACTATAATTTGGAGGACATTTTTCTAATAAGATGGTAGAGGCAGTGGAGGAAAGCCATCATTTAGTTTAAATAAAAAAAGTGAGACCATGGTGACAGAGAAAACCATTAATCTCTGATCTGATATTCAAAAGTTGAATCTTTATCAGCTCTGCTTTTCTTTCACTCAGTGTCTTTCTGTCTCATAAAAAACTATTATTAACGCTCAGACGCTCTCACCCAGTCTCTGAGCGATGTCCGGGCTGTTTCCTGGTTCCATCACATGTTAGTGACAGCAGAGCGGAGAGAGAGAAAATTGCATATTATTTACCCAGCGCCTTCAATATGCCACTTTTCCACTCAATAGCCCGCAGTTTACAACTCACTGATGAGCTGATGCTGGACCATGCGTGTAAACTGAACCTATCGGGGTCACATGATCTCCACCTGAGGCATGATGGGAGCAGTCTACACTCTTTCTGCTCTACTCCTCTTCGGGCCTCTCGACAGACCTGCTGCATGTTTTGTTCTCGGTCACAAACACACAGATGATTGAACTTGCTGCTTGGATGTCACGGCTGTGCACAGAGGAACCATCTGCTGGATATCAGATTACGCAGAATAAAGTGGGTCTTTTTTCATCTCTTTTTCATTTCTCACTCATCCACGTCTGTCCTGCTCTGCTTCTTTTTCTCGCTCCAACTCTCCAAACCGGCTTCTCCCCTTCATCTCCCTCTCTTTTTGCAGAAGGGTTGACCTCGGTGTCTCGCCTCAGGAACCAGTGTGCTGGGCTGTTTAGAAAAACTGAGGACAATGCCCCCTTCCTTTTCTTTTGTTTTCCTACTTAATCTGAGCAAGTCAACTCTCCAGTAGAGTGTGAGATTGCAGGAGTCTCCCGGACTACCTATCAGTTATCCAATAAACTCAAATTTATTCATACAAGTGTCATAATATTTTAAATGGTTATCTGAATCATGTCACACTTAATACTCAGCTGCAAAAAACTCATTAGATCTGATGGAGTTCTCCATATTCTCACAGTGCCACATTTCACAAGGATAACCGCTACTGTGAAGGTTTCATCTACAGGGTGAACATTTACATATCGACATATAAAATATTGACCAATATAGTAGCATTGATTATGGAGGTGTGCACTGAATGCGATCCAGCTGATACGAGGCAGTTCTTCCTCTCTTGTTGCTCTGTGAAGAGTCATTACTCTGAATAAACGACTCCACTGATGGAGCTCTGTCATTTATCTGATAATAATCTTAACTCTACTATTAAGATGCTAAAACATACTTTAAAATCTTCAGCTTTAAATCGTGCGATTTTCCAATTCATATCTCATGACCTGAGGTTATTCCTCCCCACTGGATGTACAGTGTTGATGATTTATCTTTTCATGAGCCGACGCTCTGACCTCGAGGCTTATTATTCCTGGTTTGTTAAACCCTGACTAGCTGTGTCTCATGCAAACAGGAAGAATCCTTTGATTAAGATAAACAGCCTCCAGGAATAAATCAAACACCTGTTAGGCAAACAGAAAAGGACTGAGGATGTTTGTGTTGTTTTGTTGTTTTTTCTGCAGTACAGTTTGTCACAAACAAATGAAGTGTAACTAAGAATAGAGCACATTGTGAGGACAAAGCACTCCTGGGATTATAAACTGTGCTGTGTTGGGCTGTATCTGAAGCACAAAGTTGATGAACACCCCCCCAGAGAGAACTGTTTTTCTATGCAGTGTGTACCTCTCAGAGCTGACAGAACAACCACACTGATAAAGCTCTGCAGACATACAGTATCTGTCCTGTCAGAGGGAACAAGAGCTTTACTGTCTCACTTTGTTGTCTCATGATACACAAACATGTGTGCTCACTGTATGATCTACTCAGAGCAGACACACACTTCACAATCAGTCATCATCTCATCTTTTTTTTTCATTACCTGCACTCTGGAGTCGGGGTCTTGTTTGATCCATTTGATGACCGTCTCATAGACCAGCTCTCAGCCTTGGTGTTGAGACTGTCGTTGGACAGGTAGGACACCAGATCCTCCTTGGACACACTCAGAATCTCTTCCTGTCCCGCCACCTGTAGAGAAAAAACATAGTCAATCTCCTTTAATGGCACAACAATGGTTTACAAACATGTCTAAAATAACATAATCCAGCATTGTTTATTGAAACATAGCAAACTATGCAGCGATGACCATGGGTACATTTCCAATCCCTGTATCCAGGGCAAACATATTTGATTGTCAATGATATAAATATATAAATAAATATAGACTTCTGCTAACCCAGATATTTCTCCATCATGAACAGTAGTTCTTAATCAAGTTGTTGACAAGTTCAAATTCAAGTTGGTTACTGAAAACAAAGTTACCACTTTCTCTGCCAAGATCAAAGGCTTTTGAGTGAAAGATGAACATTTTGTGACACTATAATGCAGTCACATTGTTTCATTTGTATGAGAATTGAGAAAAGAGGGTTTGCTTAGCTGAGCGTTAGATTCGGTCTCTATCTGTAGATTTAAATAATATAACTACAGCATTTAAAAAGGTCACCAATTACCACAAATCTCAGCTGTCTCATATAACTGTTGTGGGAGATATTTTCACATCGATGAGGGCATTTTGACTTTTTCTTATAAATTAACACACAGCTAAAGTTTCATTGAAAATGCCAACAATTAAGAAAGTAGTCAAAACAGTTATTATGTAATTAATGGGGAGTTATTTACACTGAGAGCTTGTGCTACAAATCTCACAGTAAAATGACACAAAGCTTTTAGAATTTGTGATCTGTAAACGTGCTTTTGTGCTTTGGGTAGACCAGAGATAGCAGTTTCCTGTACTTACAGTATTAATGCAAAGGAAAGCTACGCTAAGCTAACAGCCTCCATGTTGAAGCTTCATATTTGTGGAGAGACTCATGATTCATATTAATCATTTCATCTACAGTGTCTCTCGGGGGAAAATAAATCAAATGTAAATTTTAGAGGTTAGAAAACAAATTTCTATTCAAAATAAGTTTCTGTTATACAATTTCTTTTTAAACTACAAGAAAGCCGAGATCTCCAAATTTCCTGTTAGTAGTTGTTTCATGCACATCGTTTACATTCTAGCTGTTGGATATTCATGATTTCTAGATATAGCACAGTGCATGATGCTCAGATAGTTAGCTGACTCATGTGGGGAAAGAAACCTTGAGATTGAAACATGAATCAAGCATAAAAAAATCTGTCTTTTTATTGGCTCAATGCAAGTTTTATTTGAGGATCTTAATATTATTCTGGGGAAAGTAGGTTTCTCTTTTTCCCTGCAACATGAAGATCTGCAAGTGTGGCGTCTCAAGACTTATACGGGGTAAAAATGTCTGCTCCCTCTGGGTATTTATTTTAAGATCACGAAAGCTGTATGCTAACGGTTTTATTTTCCTTTACACTCTCTGAACTGGCACCTAAAGTCAGGATTTTGTGAATGGATCGCTCTGAAAGATAACGTTTTGCTACCCACCTCGGGGAAGTTCTGCAGTGCGAAGGCTTTGGCCATGTTGTGGAGCTCGGTGCAGCTCATGGCTTCAGCCATAGCCAGCACTCCCAGACAGTTAGCTGCAGTCAGCTGTTTCTCTGCAGTCAATAAACCAGGTCAGAGACAGACAGGAGAAAAAAAACAAGAGAGAGAGAGAGAGAGACATATTTAGGCAGAGATTGAACACCATTCAGGCATCAATAAGAAGATCACAGATGAATAAAAGATGGAACAGGCAGAAATATCAGATGCAGGCAGCACAGTCTCACAGTCTGACAGGGTGTGTATCTGCCTGAGAATAAAGGGACACAAGTATAATAACTCAAAACAGCTCGGAGGACCAACAACAGGGGGAATCGATCGCTCACAGCCCAGACAGGAGGTGCTGGGTGTCAGGGAGAGGATTTGGGATTAGCATGGCCACTTTTAATGAGTCCTGTCCAATATCAGATTACCATATGTTACACACCCACAAACTATGAAACAGTCCTGATAGACAGACCAGCAGGGAGAAGACCCACGCTACAGTCTGTGGTCTCTTGTAAGAGTGCAGAATTAAAGTGCTATGTCTTTTTTTTTTTTTTTTAAAGATTTATATTTGGGCGTTTTGTGCCTTTATTAGAGAGAAAGGACAGTGGATAGAATTGGAAATCAGGGATAAAGAGAGTAGGGAATGACATAGGAGCCACAGGTCGGATTTGAACCTGGGCCGCCTGCTTGGAGGAGGACAGCCTCCATACATGGGGCGCGCACACTAACCACTGCGCCACCAGCGCCCCAAAAGTGCTGTCTTTAAATCTATTTTTTTAACACACAACACAATCTACTGAAGACTAGGAAAAAGTTTTGGATGTGCCTTTCACACACACACACCTGCAGGCACACAGATCAGTTGGGTCAGTGGTCATTAACAGAGGCATGATTAAACAGCAGCCATCAAACCGAAGCAGCACCAGGGCTTTTATCAGTGAGGACAGAGTCTGGGAGTCTTTCCTAAACAAATATCAGCCAATGAAGGTCACCCTCACATCTGTTAAAATCACAACCAAACTACAGACAAAGCAAGGAGAGAAGAAAAGTGACCTCATGCTGCATCAAAGTGTGGGCACGGGGCGACACAACAGGCTGGATGAAGACGTCCCTCTGTTATGTCATTGTAGCAGAAGAAGAGTTATTTCACTGTGTCTGCTATCACACTGGGAACATTGTGTTGCACACTCGGTTCATCAGTTTGTTTCATGTCAGACAGCCAGGTTTCTAGTTTAATTTGTGGAACAAAAGTGTGCCTGAACAGACAGCTTTACAATCTGAAAATGTTTAAAAACATTACTATTGTGCCAAAGTGTTTTTCAGATTTTCAGAATTGCATGAACACAATAAATGTTTACATTAGCTTGAATCTGAAAAGTCAAAGGGGTATGAGTAGGTCTTGGAGATATTTTCGATTCCTTCTCGGTGCATTTGTTACAAACTTAATATCTAACACTGTATGATTTGTCTTTTCTCGAGGACATGGCATTCTTCTGTTTTTCTCCTCATCAAGTCAGGTGAAATGCCATGAATCTTGTGGAGGAAGAACAGATTGATATCTCACTATGACAGCCTACGAATGACTTATGTTTTAGATATTTTTTGCCCCAATTGAGAAAATCCATAACAGCTGCTGCTGGTTTTCTTTTTTTACTTTTTCTCCCACTCCTTTCCTGCTGCTGACCTTTTCACTAACACGCACATTTCTTGTTTTACAGACACACAAAACAATTTATGAAATGGAATGCAAACCGGACATTTTCAGCCTTTTTGGTTGGTTACACACTAAAAGCTGGAACATGCTGTGTGATATTTTTTTTTATGTGGCCCCTTGAGGCTTCAAAGAAGTCCGATCACCCCATCCACCTCCTCCTTCCCTCCACTTTCTACACCTTGTCTCGGTGTCAATCTGTTCTGATGATTCTCAATTCCAACATGGGTCAGGCCACACTATTTGACATTTAAGTGACAATTGTTCCTGACCTTTCAAAAAAATCTGCCCCCATGTTTGGCCCCGCCCACTGGCGCAAGATCAGAAGCTCTGTGACCGACTGAGAGTGTCACCAGGCTGAACGCTCACACAGCTGTCCGTTTTGGAAACACCATAAAAAGGAAACGTGATGTGCCAGAGACGGGGGGGGTGGGGGGGGACGGGAGTCCAGCTCATGATGTTCTGTGAGGGTGCACTTAGAGATCTACAAGGCAACATCTGAGTTCACACAAGGCAGTAGACAGAGCATGTAGCAGCAAAGGTTGTGTAGGAATATCTGATTTAATAAACATCCACAATAGCTGGTGTTGAAAATAACTTTTCCACTCTCACACACCCTCCTGTGCTCTGAGCTGCTCATACCTAGGAAGGAGATGCAGACTTTACAGAAGGTGTTGAACTGGAACTTGTTGGCGGCTTCCAGCAGCGTCTTTGCGTTGGCCGAGTCGATGACCAGCGATCCCGTGTAAACGAACTCGAGCAGCAGCTCCAGCACGTCGGCGCTGATGTTGCTCATGTTCAACTCCAGCACCTCCCTGCTTCTCGTCTCCCCTGAAGACCTGACAAATCAATCACCAATCAGAAAAGAGACATATTAGGGATGATCAAAAAAAAAAGAACAAGGAAAAAAAAAAAAAAACAGAAAGGAGAAGAGGGACACAGATACAACATCAACACCTAAGACACAACTTGGCAAGTAGCAAAGTGTGGAGAAAAGAAGTGAATCAATACATGAGAAGAACTTAAAGTGAAGAAGGGACCAAAACAACAACAACTTTGGATGGTTTCTACTTTTCATTGACGCAAGCACTTTTGTTACTATGTTGCTGCATCTGGGAAAAAAGAAATGTCTTCTCTGAACAAAGACAAGGCAAAAGAAGCATTATTGCTTTTCTTCATGCTATTCACATGTTTGCTTTCATGTATGCATAGTTTGAGAGGTGGACATGCATACATGGCAGGGTACATATGAGATAACAGACAGAAAACAGAGAGAAGGAAAGAGAACGGTTCAAACACTGACATAAGACAGAATGTAAAAGACGCTGGATAAAGCATGTTGTGCTGGGGGTGATCTCGCTGTTTGTTAGTCTGTTGGATATCAGAGCAGAGGATCCACTCAGACTGGTGTGGTGTAAGAAGTGCCTGTATGAGCAAATTAAACTGAATATGATCCCTTCCAGAGCCTGAGATGTACATGGGGAGTGGGGGGGGGTCTGTTTTCAGATCAGGGTCACGTTGTGACTTCAGAGGATCAAATGATAGAGATTAGTTCTCCTGCAGGACCCCCGGGGAGGTTTGAGAGAGTTAAATAACAGCTCACCATCCGTGTTCAATGTCCCATGTGAAACAATAATCCACTCAGGGGCAAAATAAATGGAATCAAAGCTCTGCAGAACGCTCGTCCCCACTACTATGTCTCTCTCTGCTGACTCAATATGAAAATCAGCCTCCATTAAGATGGATGGAGGCTGTTTGATTCTGTCACCTAAGTTAGCACAAACATCTGCCTGCGAGTGTGTCAGAGTGTGTGTGCGAGGGTGTGTTTTCCTTGTGCGTTGGAAACAGTTAGTCGGATATGAAGTCATGACAAACAGTCAGCATTTAGGGCAACACAGACAGCGAAAGAAACCAGCTGAGACAGGTGGATGAAACGGTAAGAGTGACGACAAGAGAAAGGGGGGAAGGATGAGGAGGAAGCAAAAAGGAAGGGAGGCAGGGTGAGACGGTCCTTCCACAGAGAACCAGCAGCCATCCTTTCCGAGGGAGGGGTTGGGTTGTTCCATGACTGTGATTTAATACCCCCCCCCCCCCCCCCCCCCCCTCCCTTCCTCCCCACCAGACAAAAAAATCCACCATCACACCTAAACAGAACCTTCGTACCCGCTGCAATACTCATCAGCAGCCTGTAGTGTATGAACTGAGACATTAGTCGTCATTTTCAAGCACACTCTGGAGGTTAGAGGGGAGAAGGACATCTAAAAAATAAAAATAAGGAAAATGGTATTTATCTCTGGATGGACTTTAGCTGGAAAAACCAAGAAAGTTACTCTTTTAATCTCCTGCAAAGCAAAAAGTCACAAAGTGTTATGGAGAGTAGTAAGACAGAAAAATGGAAGGGGAGTGTTGCTCAGGGTTAAAGTGATTAAGGAGAATCAATTGGGGGTGGGGGGGGAAGAGCGAAAATAAAAGAAGAGCATGCTCATCAACCAGCTATATCAGTGCACTAAGAAGAAGAGGCAGTTTGTTTTGTTTAAGCCCTTGAGCTATGGAATGATATTTTATGTTATCCTCTAGCTTCTTAAGTGTCCTGTGTCTGATTGTAGATTTTGAGTTAAAATAGTGAGAGAAGGAGTCAGCGAGCACAGGAGGGACAGAGGAGGAAAAAGAGGAAGGCGGCGGGGGGGGGACATGTTTGCGAAAAATGCATAGCTTATTCAAGAGAAAGTCTTAAAGTCTTAATCTGCAGACTGTCAGAATGGTGGGGGATGATGCACACACACACACACACACACACACACACACACACACACACACACACACACACACACACACACACACACACACACACACACACACACACACACACACACACACACACACACACACACACGTGCGCACTTCCTCACACATCCTTTAACCTTATCAAAGCAAGCACATTTAGCTTGATCTTAAAATAGCATCTATAAAGTGGAAGTACTCAAACTACAGAGATACGTATGCTAATATTGAAGATCGATCAAATGCAAAGCCTGCACAGTCTGGACTAAAAGTTGCAATGACCGTCAGTACGTTTATATGCACATTAAGTTGAGCAAAGGTTACAGCTCGATAAGGCCATTTCATTGGTTCTGTCCTTGTACCAGTATACAAGCACCGGGGGAGAATTGATTAATTGACAGAGGCATGTCCACCTCTGTTACAGTAAGTGCCGATACCTCGCCTTTGACTGAATATTATTGATTTTTTTCTTCCAGGCTGACCTTGCAAACAAAGTAGCTTTAATTGTGATTAAATAATTAACAAGAATTTGCTGTTAAAAAAAATCAGACATTGTGGCAGCAGCAGCATGAGGATGAGCTTGACGAAATTCATTCGCTCCTCTGGGGCTTTACTTCAGGCCATGTCTCTACACATAAATGATCTGACTTTGTGGTGAAGAAGAGGCCCAGATGAGTCATCTGATGGACAGGTTGACCAGCATGGGGGCTTCAGTTCCCTCCAAAGTCACTTCAGTGTCTCAGGCAGCTGCTTTGCTATTGTCAAGGTCAAAGGAGGACGCCGAGTCTGGTTTTTATTCAGAGTGGAGCTGTCATGGAGATGAATTGTCTGAGACTCTGTGGCTCCTCTACCTCTGCTCTCTCTCTGCTCTTCATCACTTTGTTCATATTCAGGAGGAACAGGAGTATCAGTGTGAGTCTAGCAGCTGATGAGCAACTCTCTGCTCTCTGGTGAGCTTCACAGTGGAGGCAGCATGGCTGCAGGGCTAAAGTGACAGACTTTCCTGAGGCATCACGGCTACAGCTAGTGACTGTGTGTGTCTTTTTGTTTGTCATTGTCTTTTCATACTCAATACCTCATCATGCAAATGAAAACAAACAAACGCTCTCACACCCACAGACATAAAATAACCAAGACAGCAAAGCAGCTTTAGGTCCAGGGGACGCTCAATCAAGCTGAAAACACCTGCAAGGATTTGAAGTGAGGATGACGACACATAGCGTTCCGTCTTCAGAAAATAAGGTGGATAAAAAAAGAGGCGTAATTGTGCCGTAAGACTTTAGAAACTCATAGAAACATGTGTGCATGAGAGACACTTAAAGGCCGACACACATACATGTGCAGGCAAACAAGCACCCAGTAGAATATTAGGGCTACGAAGACCAAAAAAAAAAAAAGAGTATGAAAGGCAGAATACCGAGGGAATACTTAGATTAAAATCAAAGAAAAACATCAGTAAAGGGTGGTGTTAACATGTGAAAGCTACGTTTCAGGAAACTGTCTTAGATGCTCTTTTTTTTGTGGCTACTTTAGGACTCTGAAACGTCGTTTTTATTACACTGACGGGGTTTATTAGCATATGAAAAGGGCTGGTGTGTTGCAAAAAACTCTGTACCCACAGAAGACAGTCTGACTTTGGTGAATTATCGCCTATAGTTTAAAATGTATGATTCTTTTGTTTTGGTCCTTTGTCCAGTTTTAAATCATCCCCAGTCATGGAACACTTTCTCTGCTCATTAAAATGGAAATGTGTTTAAATTGCCCTACATGGGGAGGAAAGGTAATGACGAGGTTTGACCTTTATTCTCCACTTTCAGATACATTCATTTAAGTGGGAAGAGGAAGGAATGGCTGCTGGCCCTGTGATAGGAACCAAAGTCTTCACACACCTGCAAGAGAGAGAGAGAGAGAGAGAGAGAGAGGGGAAGGGGAAAAAAGCGACACAAATGCGCCCTATGAAAAGAACAGATTGGATCAAGAGCTGGTGTGAGGGGGGGGGGGGAGAGAAGGCAAACCTTTTCACCAGGTCCTTGAAATACAAGCTGCAGGAAGCTAGAACATTTTGGTGGACTTCAAACTCTTTGCCTTCAACTATTATTTTCAGGTCTGTAAACTCTTTCGCTCTGCGCTGCTGGTTCAACTCCTTCAACATCTCTGTGGAACAAGAAAAAAGAAACAGACAACGCAGAAAGAGGGTTTAGAATTATTTTCCTGTACAAACATGAGAAACAGTAGCATGACAGCAAGAAATAGAAGAAAATGTTGAAAAGTTCAGATTTGTGGGACACAATATGATCTGATAGAGGAGAAGTGATATGTGCAGATTTAATCAAATGTTTTAAAACATGCAAAATGCAACGACTAGAAATGGGATCAAAAGCTATCATTATTATGGAAATACATTTGAATAAGTGTATTTGACCTCTGTTACCGTTCACTGCTGAGCTACAACTCCACAAGAGAAGCTGAATGAGATTTAAAAGCGTCTGGAAGATGTGAGCTGAAAACAGAGACTCTGTCGATGCATTATTTATAACAATAAAAAATGTTGGCTTCTCACAAGCGACCTACTCGTCAAAGAGATGACCTTCAAATGTTGCTCAATCAGAAAACAATCGCTTTTGCCTGAACCCCCGATACCCGCTTCCTTTCCCTCAATCGCTTACAGAAAATGACAATCCCCCCAACCCCCCACCGACCCACCCAGCATTGTCCTTCTTTCTTTCTTTCTTTCTTTCTAGAGAGAGAAAAAAACACAATCGCCAAACACTGTTCTCCTGAAGACCTCGGTACAAGATGAGTAGTATAACGTAGCAGCACCGTGTTAAGCTAAGCTTTAGTGTGGGGTCGGAGGTTCTTGTTTCTCTGCGTCTTAATGAGGCATCATGAGGGGAGGCTGACAGGAAATATCAGCGGGAGATGAGCAACTTGTTCCACTAAAGAGAACGCACAATAATGCAGATGGTTACAGAGGGAGCCAAGCTTCTTTACTGTCGTCTGAGAATGAACAGATTTTATTGAGGCTGCAGGCTGCAGAGTAAACAAATACTTGGCACAGAGCAAAGTCTGCGTTAAAGGCACATATTTCTTGCTGGAGAAAGATAACAAAGAGATACACGATGATTTAGATAAATAAGGTGGAAAATCCTCTAATAGTCAGCAATAAGTGCTCTACTCATCCATCTATTCATTAAACACCAGAAACTGATCAGACTAGTGATTGTAGTGACAACACCCGTTGGTGCTGAAATAAAGGAGATCATCAAAGAGGTGTGAGTTTACGTCAGACTTAAATCAGATGTTTGATTAACCCAGAATGACACACGGCCCTCCATTTTGCTGAAACATGCTCTCATTTAGCGCCTCCGTTCTCCTGACTGACACTGGGAGCTCAGCTCTGAATTCATTCAGCAGATGAAATTAAACAGAAAAAAGACTCATGACAAAAGAGGTGCAACTCAGAGGCTCACTTTGATGAAAGTCTTTTAAATGAGAGCTGCATCCTTCAGAGTTTTTGTATCAAAGAATGAATGAGCAGAGAGAAAATGACCTGGTTATTAAACATGCTGAATACAGAAGAGGAGAAAAACAATAATAGATCCAGTTTTTGACAACATGTCTGATTTATTTAGACTAGATACACAGCAGCATGAGTTAGAGTGAGATGTACGTACACATGCAAACACAAAGGCTGGTGTTTCTCTCTCATCAATCTTTTGCTCTCTCCACCTTCCTCTTCACCTTCACCTGCCTGTCTGTCGGCCAGTTATCTGATGTGTGAGCACGACTGTGAATAGTGAACACACAGTGAGTAAGTTTGAGTGTGCATTAGTGAATCTCCACAGACCGATATGGCTCTCACCTCCAATCAGCCGCAGTGCGTATCACCCTTTTGACCCAAGAATAGAGAAAGTGAGAGGAGGAGACAGAGAACTCGGCCTGTCAGCAAACAATGGCCGCCTCCCTCTGAGCCGTGCAGACACATCTAAATGCCTGATGGAAAAGATAACTATGGCCCCCTGGAACACCTCAACGACACCCTGGACCATGAAACTGCACATGGCGTCCCCCTTTACCCAACTTCAGCATGGAGTGTTTTGACCACAGCCGAGTTCAATGGGACCACAGCGGCTTTGAAACACCAGACGTCTCAATACTCCTCCAGAAGAATCTCTTGAGGGGAGTCCACACGGATGAAGAAGTAGTACGCTTGTTTTGCACACAGAAACTCTCATGTGGCTAAGGTGCGACAGTTCTTCAGAATATTTTGGTGGACATTGGCTAGAGTAGTTCCCTTTCTCTGATCACCTCACTATAGTGCTGAGGGCCTGAGCTGGTTCTTCCTGATTGGTCGACAGACCACAGGGCCGACTCTGCAGCTCAGCCTAGTAACTATACTGTAAAACATCTGAGCTCTGGGGCCAATGGGGTCCTTGGTTTTGGTTCCAGTAACCTATCAGAGTGCTATAAGGTGTGGTTAGTCCTCACTGAGTTGTGATTTGCTGCTGCGGAAGGGGCGAGGCCTCACGCCATTAGTTGCATTTTTGAGATCTGTGTTTTTCACGTGCTGATTTGCAGCTCCACCATTTTGTATTCAAGACATTTCTTGATACATATGTTCTATATTTTTCCTCGTGCTTCTGCTTCTGCAATGAATTCAAAAGTTAAAAATTGGTCAAATGTCCATTATTAGAAAAAGAAAAAAAATCTAACATACATAAAAAAAGAGAATGTTTCTTTTTAGATTCATGGTAAATAATGTTTAAATCAAGAATTATGTTTACATTTTACAAAATGAGAATAGGTAAGAAAAAAAAGAAGTCATTGAGATGTAGTAGGAGATCATTTTGATTATTTTTCTTTAAAAACATTTTTTTTAATGGTTTTTAGCAGCAGAAAGGAGGCTGATGGCTTCGCTCTGACCTCTTTCTTCTCTGACACGTTTCACAATCAATGCATACCAACACTCAGTATAATAACGCAGGGAAAACCATGCTAGCTGATCAACGCCTCCCTGACACGAGGTTTTCTGAAGCCCGGACAAGGAAGTCACCACAACACGTCTTTACTGATGCAGTGATGCGCCGTTTCTCACGCAGGAAATGACAATAAAATGATACTCCTTTCTTCAAAAGCAAAGGAACGACCTCATATCAGCTATAGAGCTGAGAGAATATACTGAATGCACTGAAGTCAATTTTCAGTTCAAATGTTCTATTTTAAATTCATATTTCAAAAATAAAAGCTTGGTCTATGTTTAATATTAATCTTATAAATGTAGTAACCCAGTTTACATTTTACGTCAAAGATAAATATCAATTCAAAACCTTTACACTATTTTAATAAGATTGTATGTGTTTGTATTTTATTAAATGAGGCCTCCAAGATTTAAATCAGAACAACATGAGGATGATTACTTAACAACAAAGATCAAATAATAATGAATTGTTATCCTTAACAGGCTTGACGTCTGACAGCCACAAAGCCTGAATCAGCTCTGATTCTGATAGACATTTAAACAAACACTTTTTAGAAATCTTCTACTCACTGAGATGTTTTTTTTCAGTAAGAATTGTATTTCTGTTTGCTGCAGTATTTAGGAAGAGGCCATACGATGCTCACTAAGCATTCCATTTAATATGTTCTCACTTAATGAAAATCTGTTTGAATCAGAAGATGGATAATATGTTTTACATTCTGTATGTTTTAAATTCTAATTTTCAAAATAAAGCTCATTGACATTTTCACTGTTCCTGTGGGATCTCGTTATTTCAGACTTCCATTTTTCAGCAGGTTGTTTGAGTAATATCAAAGAAACAAAAAAGGAATGAAAGAAAATACAATCTAATGAATTTGAATTTTAAAATCGCTCTGAATCCAAAAATAGTTGAGAATGAATAACGTATTGCTGCTTAAGAGTGACTCAAGAAATGCTTTATAAGATAGCTTGCTATTTAATTTTTCTTCATGAAAAAATAAAGGTTTCACAGTTTGTTCTTTTGTGGTCACTGGATCGAACTAAACATTCATTCAAAAAGCATCAGAAAACAACAAAAACATTTGGTATCAAATATGTGACATTATATCAGTTTTACAAACATCTGGAAATGTGGGGAATGTTTTTACTAAATTCAAATAAATTATTATTTATTATAAATATTAGAACAGTATGGGTATATTTTCTTTTACCTTACTTCTTATTTATTTTGACTTCTCCAGTCTTTTTAACTGTAAGAATTTAAAATAAATTAACATTTATATTAATCACCTAGGTAATGTTTAGATTCTAACTGTTTCTCGAGTGCTCTTGTAAGTATTTATATATATATATTTGTTTGATCAAATCAACTCTTCTGGGACAGCTGATAGTCTAGTAGTTAAGTTGAGCGCCCCATGTACAGAAGCTGTGGGTTTGAATCTGACCTTGGCCCTTTGCTGCATGTCATCCTCCACTCTCTCCTCCCAACATTTCCTGTTTCTCTTCAGATGTTTCATCTAATAAAGGCCCAAAAATGTATCTTTAAAAAATAATCTACTCTTCTTAATGAATTAATGTTTGTTCAAGACAAGAGAGAATAACTCATCAGATACAAATGTCCATGAAGAAATAAAGAAAGGAAAATTAAACACAATTTGAAATTTTGTTTAAAAATACATTGCAAAATAATTTTTAGAATCTGAGAAAGAAAAGCAAAACAACAGATCACTGTAAAATAACTCTGATGTGATTTATGTCCTTTTTATTTGCTCAAAGGAATTTCCAAGGAAAAAACTTACATATTTAGATGTCACCAAGTCAAGCCTGGATTTCCGGAAAGGGAAATCCAGCCTCTGAGAAGTCTGTGAAGCACCTCTAACAATCACAGCCTCGTTCATTTCTGCAGACGTCTCAACAGCCTGAGCAGGCCCTCAGAAAATCAGCTCATTGAGGCACCAGAACTCCTCGAGGCCTCCTCCAGACTCTCCTGATTTCTGTCTGAAAGGCGGCAGTAGCTCCATACAGCCTCGTAGAATAGTCCATGATGAGGACGCTTTATATATTCCCCCTGCACCAATCTGCCGAGTGGAGCTGCACGAGCCTCACTGCGCTGTCAACCAGCCTGGACTGAGCCGGGGGAGTAACCGAGGGACACACAGAGAGAGAGAGAGGCATC